TGTATGCTGGCCAAATACACACATCAACAAAGTCTAGGGATAATCGTGAAAATTTGCTATAAAACAATTATTTTTATCAAAAAAACTCTTATTTTTTTGTAGGATATTCTCACATGTATTTTAATCATTTGTTATAGTAATATTTTGTTTTTTAATTATTTGTTAAAAAAATATTCAACAAAAAAGTTGTATACTAAATTCGAAGGTAGTGGTCTATATAAAAACTGCAAACAAAAACGCCAGAAAACTTACACTCTGCTGATAAAAATATTCAGTTGAGTTTGCAAAACCATGGCGAGAAGACATTTAACGAATGAAGAAATGTTAAGAGCTATTGGGATGATTGAAGCGGGTGCAACCCAACAAGCAGTTGCCGCTCAGCTAGAAACATCACAAAGCGTGATAAACAGATTGTGTCAACGCTATCGAGAGACCAACAGTGTGAATGAAAGACATCCAGGCCGAGGAAGGCTTACAACGGCAAATCAAGACCGCTTTATTGTTCTGCAGGCCAGAAGAAACCGATCTCAAACTGCATCTGAGTTGGTTGCTGAGTTGCAATTGTCACATAATGTGACTGTGAGTGCTCAGACCATCAGAAGACGATTACATGAAAGAAATCTTCATGCTAGACGCCCTCTCAGGGTTCCCCCTTTGTCCGCTGGAAATCGAGTAGCTAGACTTTTGTGGGCCCAGGAGCATTTAAATTGGTCTGATGAACAATGGTCCACAGTTTTGTTTAGTGATGAATCTCGGTTTGGCCTGCATCCAGACTCAAGAAGAACGAGGGTATGGCGATGTCCCGGACCAGCAGCACGGCTAGAAACTGCTCAAGAGGTCCATACTTACCTTGGTGGAACTGTTATGGTGTGGGGTGGCATCAGCGTTGGAGGAAGAAGTGATCTCATTTCACTTCAGGGATTTTTAAACTCAATTTCTTATCGAGATGTTATCCTTCAACCCTTCGTGATTCCCTATGCTGCAGCTGTTGGTCCAAGATTCATTTTCATGCACGACAATGCCACCCCACACAGTGCACGAATAATAAGTGATTTCTTGGATGAAGAAAATATCGACGTTCTTCCATGGCCAGCACAATCCCCGGACTTAAATCCGATAGAGCATCTGTGGGACATGTTACAAAGGCGGGTTATGCGTAGAAATCTTTTTTTTAATAATCGTCAAGAGCTCATTTTAAGTTTACAAAGGGAATGGGCCGCAATTGACCAGGAGGCAATTGATGCATTAATTTTGAGTATGAACAGACGGTGCAGAGCTGTGGTGAATAGTAGAGGAGGTCACACCACTTATTGACATTATTTTTGCCTTTATAATAACCCAGTAAACACAATTACGTAAATATGACGTAAATATGACGTCATGTCAAGTCACGCTTACGTAAGATATAGGTCACACTTGAGTCATACAAGAGTCATTATTTCACACTTTCTTACGTCAGACTCTGACGTAAACATCTTGATGTAACACTGACATCATACTATTACATAATATATACGTAATAAATGTGACATAAATATGACCTCCTTATTTTTCATCATGGGGCAAAATAAGTAAATACTGAAACAGCTCACTTGGCTGAAATCAGTTCCCTCTTGACGTTAAATGAGTGAAATTGTGGGTTCGCGGCTTTGGCCTTGCAAAGCAGGCACTGTTTAAGCAGAGGGCCACGGAAATTTCATGACGATCTAGACGGAACAATCCTGGCTCCAACAAAGAATTCCACTGAAAAAGCTAAATTATCGTAGGCCACAATTCGTGACTCGTTTATTTGCCGAGGTTCGGATTCCTAAATCTCAAATTGCAATGCAGCCAGTGTCAACTTATATACTTAACGAATAGTGCCACATAAGCGAGATGTATTATGCAATAATGGTTGCCTATGATAAGTAGATTTCTACTATATTATAGTAGATGCCTACTTATCATAGGCAACCTTACTGCATATTGCAACTGTTAACAATTAATATATCAATGTTATTTGACAACTTTACCCTTATATATTATAATATTATTATAAAAATTTTTTATCAATGAAAAATTCTTTAATAGTTTACATATATTTTTAAAAATCTCTTGGTTTCTTAATTATTAATACTAAATATTCTGTGTACTTAAATAATTTCGTTTGTCAATTTCATTTCTTTTATTTATTATTTTTTAAATTTTAAAAATATACTAATACCAACAATATTGTGCAAATACCTATCTATTATTATAGGTATTATATTAATATATAATTATACCATATTATATTATAATATTAAATTCTTTAAATTTGGTTGTATTATTTTTTATAGTTTTATTTTTTGAACCTCTGTATTTGGAAATTGAAATTTTAGTATGTTAAACAAGGCATTAAATATATAGGTACTACCAGAGACAAGGGTACTCTGGGTACTACTTTTTGACTTAAACCAATTTTGAAAAATTTCTAAAATGGCGTCGTACTGTCAAAAGGTCACATTTTTTTCAATGGGAAATGGAATCATTACCGAAAAGGTATTTATTGCAAGCTGATACTTTATCTAATTTATGAAGCTGATCAAAACCAACTCACAATGGATTTTGAACCAACTACTAATTTTTCAGATTCTTTACAGGGTATGTCAGAAGTAAGAACAAAAAAAAATCGCTTTTTATGAGTAGCTATAGCTATAGCTAGGGACAATATTCAACATTTAAAAATTATTTTTATTTTAGAAATTTAAAATTTTAGTATTTTAATAGATAACATTTTTTGACATGCATGGATTTAAAAAAAACAAATGACGTCGTACTGCCAAGGTCACATTTAAAAAAATTTGAAGTGAGTGAAATATCATTTCAGGTCTTTGAAAGCGTAACTACTTATTTTTTCGATTGTACAGACCCGGGTGGAACAAAAAAATTCCACTTTCACCAAAAGCGCCATTTTCAAAAAATAATAACAGTAACATACAATACAAAAATAACAAGTTAACACGTAATAACACGTACCTAAATCTTTTGTTGATAATTTTTTACAATTTAAAAAATAAGTAGGTACTTGCAAGTACTTGCAACCATGATTAATCATACCTACATGATTTTTCACATGACCATTGAATAAAATGTGTACTTTTGAAAGTACGACGCTATTTTCAAAATTTTTTACGTCATAAAGCAGTAGGAACCGGAATCATAAAAATCTATATGATGGTTATTACATATTAAATTAAGATACATTATTTTTTGATTGGTTTTAAACCATATTTTCATTTAATCGACCAAGTACTAAGTAGCCAAAAAATTCAAGGAACTTCGCGTTATTTCTTTCATCATGCTAGATGCAAAAGTAATTTTAAAATATGAAATTTGCTGTATTTTTATGTTTGAATTAAACTCATTGGTATTCCTTATAAGGAAAAGTATCCACTGATTTTATTGTTTAAAATAATCGGCGTCAATTTCAATTAATAGAATTTACTTACGTTATTTTACTCAATGTTTGAATTAACCATTTCAATCAATAAAAAATAAAAATTATGTTTGACTATTTCACTCATTGAAAATAAAAGTCCATTCATTGAAATTAGTTTAATTCAAACATTAAAATACAGTGAATTTCATACTTTGAAATTACTTTTGCATCTAGTTCGTCTAAATAATATATATGGCAGATTTCTTATGTCAGTCTTACCTTACAAAGTGACCTTAAACTTATGTAATGGTATGACAGATTTCTTACGTCAGTCTTACGTAAGAAAGTGACCTAAAACGTATGTAATAGTATGACGTATTTCTTACGTCAGCCTTACGTAAGAAAGTGACCTTACACTTAGGTAATATTATGACAGATTTATTACGTCAGTCTTACGTAAGACAGTGACCTAAAAGTTATTTAATATTATGACAGATTTCTTATGTCAGTCTTACGTAAGAAAAGTGACTTTAATATTACGTCACGATATGACTTTAATATTACATAAGATGTACGTAATATGTAAGTCATTTAATTACATCATATAAAAGTCACGTTTTGGGTCAGTATTATGTCACTATGACGTAAAAATTGTATTACCTAGATATGATCTACGTGTTACGTAAATTTTAGGTCATAAGTCACGGTTTGGTTCACTGGGAAAGTTTGATTTTATTTGTTATTTTCACTTCATTGTTTAATAAAGCTATTTTAATTTCATTGCATATTTTTATGACTTTTCATTCAAAAATGGAAAAAATATATATGTGAGAATATCACATAAAAAAAGTGAGAGTTTCTTTACAAAAATAATTGTTTCATTGCAAATTTTCACGATTATCCCTAGACTTTGTTGATGTGTGTATATATATATATATATATATATATATATATAGTTTCTAGTTAGAAATGGTGAAATATGAATTTAGTATTTTAACGAAAAAGCCGTGTTTTTAAATGTATGGCAGTACCATGAAGCCGTGGCCATACATTAAGCCGGGTCGCAGATCGCAGTACATAAGCTTGCGCAAAGCACCCAGCTGACAAAAGTACCTTGCTCCATCGCCACGTCGCGGGGTGCTTTGAGCAAGTTTCTGCGATCGGACCCCTGCGACAATTGTAGACCCGGCTTTAGGTCTAAAAAGCTGTGAAAACACGGCAATTGCCGTGTCATTGGCAGCACTGGGAAGGCCTCTCTGCTTTAGCTTTAGCGCATGTCTATATTATGAACTGTGATTTGTTTGACATAAGACCTTTACGGTAAAAGATAAAACTTGAAAACTTCTAAGTATAGGAGGAAGGAAGGGCGTTCTTGTGCGGTTTATAGATTTCCGTACCCACCGTATTGTTAATCTTTTACAGGAGGAAGGAAAGCAATCTATAAATCAGGCTTAAGTAACCCAGAGAAGGTTTCCGAAAACGCCTTCTCTTAACAAATTAATTAATCATTTGTTCTATGGAGCAAACTCAATTTTCATTATGTTGGTGACATTGCCTCTTTGTTTGCTACTTTAGCTTAGCTTAGTTGGTAACATTGTAACCTTAGCCAACATAAATTCCCCAAGAAAAAATAAATAAATTTGTAATTATGTCAAATTGAGGAGTATAAATAGAAAATAGCTTGTTTTTCTACCAATGCCTTTGCAAGCAATAAACACAATGGCTCAGGTAATAAAATAAAACTTAAAAAAAATGTATCCAGGTTTCTGTTTATAACAAATTTTTAATATTTATAGAATGCAGTAGAACCCATGCAGGTTGATGCACCGCCGGAAGATAACGATAATAACGAAGAAGAAAGTTATGTAGTCGAAAATCCATCACTAGATCTTGAGGTGTATGCCAATAGCTACACAGGCTTGGCCAGATTATATCGGCTGATCTACATTATTGACCATTGTCCTTCTCTAAGACTAGAAGCTTTAAAAATGGCCATATCTTATGTTATGACCACATATAATGTTAATCTATATCAAGTACTTCATCAGAAATTGGCTGAAGTAACAACAGCAATCAGTGTGCCTGATGTTGCAGCTTCATCAACTTCACAAGACATTCCCTCAATTGACAACTTGTGGATGGAGACAAGGTCTAAAAAAGCCGCATTAAAATTGGAAAAGTTGGACAATGATTTAAAAAATTATAAGTCAAATTCTATTAAGGAGAGTATTCGTAGGGGACATGATGATTTGGGCGATCATTATTTGGATTGTGGGGATTTGTCAAATGCTTTAAAGTGTTATTCTCGAGCTCGTGATTATTGTACCAGTGGAAAGCATGTAGTTAACATGTGTTTAAATGTTATAAAAGTTTCAGTTCATCTTCAGAATTGGTCGCATGTGTTAAGTTATATTTCTAAAGCTGAAGGTACTCCAGACTTTTCAGAGGGTCAAGGAAAAGATGCAAACCAAATTATTATCACAAAACTTAAATGTGCTGCTGGTTTGGCTGAGTTAGCTACAAAAAAATACAAATCAGCTGCAAAACATTTTTTGCAAGCTAATTTGGATCACTGTGATTTCCCCGAGCTGTTATCTCCCAATAATGTAGCTATGTATGGTGGATTCTGTGCATTGGCAACATTTGATAGGCATGAACTGCAGAAAAATGTTATATTTAGCAGTTCTTTTAAATTATTTTTGGAATTGGAACCTCAATTGCGCGATATAATTTTTAAATTTTATGAGTCAAAATATGCTTCTTGTTTAAAATTACTAGATGAAATTAGGGATAATTTGTTACTAGATATGTATATAGCCCCACATGTCAACACATTGTATACTCAGATTAGAAATAGAGCTTTAATCCAATACTTTAGTCCATATTTGTCAGCTGATATGCATAAAATGGCAGAAGCTTTCAACCGAACTGTTCCTGCCCTGGAGGATGAGTTGATGCAACTTATTTTAGAAGGGCAAATTCAGGCTCGAATTGATTCCCACAACAAAATTTTATTTGCTAAAGATGTTGATCAAAGAAGTACTACTTTTGAGAAAAGTCTACTAATGGGAAAAGAGTATCAAAGAAGAACAAGAATGTTAATATTAAGAGCTGCTGTTTTAAAGAATAAAATTCATGTTAAAGTGAGTTTTCTAAATTGTTTACTTTTATGCTATAATACAAATCTATATATTTTTAGAGCCCGCAAAGAGAAACAACTGGTAACTCAGGAGAAATTACTGTGGCTCCTGGAACAAGTACCGCTGTTTCTGCCAGAACATAATGTGTTTTTATTTTCTATATTAAATATTGATGCTTTAGATCATTTGTATAATAAAGGATAAATTAAAAATTTTAAAGTCATTGGGCATTCTTTCTCAAAATTAATAGCCAAAAAGTGAGTCTTTTTGTGCTAAGCTTAAAGTTAAAAGCAAAGCACAAGAAGACCAACATATTATTTTGTAATGTTTTTCAGAATTTTATAAAACGATATATGAAACACATGGTGACACATTTAACCTGATGACAAAACACCCTAATAATAATTATTAAGGTTTTATAAGTAGCTCAGGAGGGATTGGGTTGGGTTGGGTTGTAACAGTACTAGTAGTCTTTTTGAATAAAAAAAAATATTTTTAAGGAATTAAACAGTCAACCACGATACCTAATTTTGCCAAATAAAAACCTTGTTAAACAGCTTTTGTTTAAAACTATTTATAAAAATTTGACATTAGTAATATAATAGAACAAAGTATTTTCTTAATAAAAACTTGCAACTGTCTCAATGTACGAATGTGGCGCAAAATAAATATCCAAACACGCATGGCATAAAAAATCACGACATGATTTTTTATGCCATCGGTGCCACATTCGTACATTGTGAGAAAATGTAGCTTGTGCTTACTGGCCAGTAAGCACAAGCTAGCCGGCCCGAATACGTTTTGCCGAATCGGCCGCGTGTCAGCCTGGCCAACTGTCGGGCATATCCGCCTGGCCGAATGTCGGCTATGTTTACTCGGCCGAGTGTCGGCTGTGTATAGTTGGCCACAACCGCCTGGCCATTCAAAAAAAGCCTACAGACGTCCTGGAGAGGTATATCCTATAATGAATGGCAAGATACTTCTTTAACACACTCTACTAGCTAGACATTATTCGTTAATGAGCAGATGAGGATGGAGATGGGGACTACCAACAAATAATGTTTAGCTATGCCATAACGGACGCACACTTCCAACTAAATATTGCAACCAATCGCTATTTATAGTTAGCTCGCGTGCGTAAGCAGCCGTGAGATGTATCGCTTATGCCGCGGCAGGCCGCATTCTAGCCGTAAGCGGGCCGGCTAGGGCAAGCCGAAGGATTTTGCAGCGGCATGCCGTATTCTGGCCGACTTCGGTTAGAACATGGCTAAACAGTACTGGGGTAACATAACGCGGGCAGGCTGCGGCAAGCCGAACCGCCGGTCAGCCGCCTATGCCGAGCGAAGGCCCACAGAACGAAGGCCGTTAAATAGATTTAATAATTTCTTGGATGTAAATTAACTATTAAAAATATTGTGTAAGCTCCATGATGCCAACATTGAAATCTCTGATTGAAATTGAAATAGATTTAGATTTTGGTTAGTTGGCAACATTGAATATAATTAAGTTTTATATAATAATAATAATAATACATTTATTGTGCAAAAAATACAATATAACAATATAAAGTACAATACACAAAAGGAGGTGTTCGTAAAAACGCTCTTCCACACCACCATATCTATGAACTTTTATTACATAACTAGTTTGGTTGGCATCCCTGCAAATTTACCACTGGAATTTTGACGACTGGATTGAAGGTGTCAGTAATTATTTTTCATAAAATAATTTCTTTTTCAATTTAAATATTGCATCCTGTTTTAGATCAACGAAGATGGCAACAAATCTAACAAAAGCCCCACTTCTTCGTAAAGCCGCGGTAAGTTTAGGTTAACCTACTCTTTCTGAGTGTTAGGTTACCTATTATGTAAACCAAAATTGGGTAAATAGTTTAATAAATTGTTTTAGACAAGGGGATACTCAAAACTTGCCCCAGTTAGCGGAATTCCCAACTATGAAGTCAAAACATCCACCCTTCCCAATAAAACTGTAGTTGTTGCTGCCGATAATGATTCCCAAATTGCCAGGGTTTCTATAATTTTAAGGTAGGATCTAAATTATTTATTTATTTCCATTCAATAAATACTAAATTGAGAGTTACACATTAAATCCTTGTATAAACTGTTTCATAGCAGATTGCAATTTAACTTTTATTTATTTATTATATTACTTATAACAGTTATTTTATTATGAATGGTTAACTTTTGATATTGGACCCACCTTAATGGTTATTATACATGTACTATGTTTTACTCACATTTTTTTTTTGTGATGTTGCCATATTCCTAAAAGTTAGGTTGACAATAAAATAGTGTTAATTTTTGGTTTCTAATTTTGAATTAAGAGGAATGCCCTAAGCCAAAGGAGTATTTTTTTTAGAAAGAAAAAGGGTCCTGATTTTTTTTGTTAACCATGTATACAGGGTGTCCAAAAAGTCAACAATATCCTTAACTTAACATGATCTTAGTAAAAAAATGGCATTTTTATTAATTTTGTGAAACTTGACAACTTAGATCAGTTTTTCAAATGCCACAACTACTAAATTTTATATTCTAAGATTATATTTTGTTTTACACCCCTATTAATAGACCTGCTATTGATATTGATGAACTGGACAAAATAAAACTAATGGTATTTTTTTACTTTTTGAAAACAAACAATTGCACCCAATTTTATAAGTTTTTAATAGCTAACTTTGACTGTACAAAAATATGACATGCTATCTTGGCAAGATATTTTTAAACTTTGCTTATTAAGTTTAGTTTTTAAAATGGTATAACATTGGCCATGGTTTACTTTAAAGAAAAATATATAGTGGTGGTTGCTCATGATCTATGATATAAAAGGTTCAGCAGGGAATTTTTTTCTGGCCAGCACAAATATTACTTTTTTAAGGTTTCAAAACATCAAAATATATTAGATTAAACATTAAAATATGTATGTATTAAAAAAAGAACAAAATGCTAATTTATATTTTATCATTGTGTACAGTTCAGAACTGTCAGTTCTGTCCTTATTTGCAGGCAACTTGTCAATAACAGCCTCATTACTCAGTACTTTACCATTTAAGTGTTTATAATAATTGTTGAAATATTAATGCAACAGAGAACGAATTACGAAATTAAAAAAGGCAATCTGTGGAAAACTGGTTTTGGAGCACACTAAGCATGTGCGCCACCAGCAGTCTAAGAAAATACAGAGAAACTGCATAAGCTTCGCCTACTTTATCGCACGTGCGACCGTTCTACGTCATCAAAGCTCGTTCGTTTCATTCGAAAGCGAGGCGAACGGTGCGATAATAATTGAATGGGTGAGATAAATTTTTGTGAGAATATTTGAACTACCTACTTTATAAAATATTCTTACATAATAATCATATTTTATAAAATAATTTATTTTTTTTAAATTGATTTTAGAAAATTATATATCAAAATAAAAATTTTGAACTTGTACAGTTTCTAATCTCACCGATTATCATTAAGGAGGTTAAAAAAATAATATAAATTAAACATTGTATTATTACTTTTGAATTATATACTGAAATGATATTGCTGTTTTACTGCAAAACGAGCTCGTAAAATTATTTCAATAATTTAAAACTCAAATAGGAACACTTGTTTAATGAAAGTAACAGATATTTTATTATATTATAAAAATTAAAGGATGTTTCCATTTGCGTGCCACCAGGTCGAATGCAAGTGCGGCATCTTTTAAAAACTGTCGTTTTATCCGTCTTGCACTCCCTGTGTCCTTTATTTGTTGTGCGGCTTTATTAATCCTCAATTTTGGATTTAACCTTTTACCGCTACAGCGTGGTTTCACAGACTCCCCATTAGAATTCGTATTAAAATTAAAACTTCAAATAATACTTAGAATTTGGTTTAAATAAAACAAAAAACTTTAGAAAACCTGTTTCAAACAAAAAAAACTTTATTTCCAAAATCATCAAGAATACAAAACAATGAAATATTTTTTAAACATTTTAAACAATTTTTTCGGGAACATTGTGAACAAATTGGTTTATTACAAATAAAACATAAATACTGAGTCTTTCTTTTCAATTTTGATGAACAAATATGGCATAACCGTCGCTCTTCTTTAGCTGCTATTTTGATATTTGCAGTTGTCTTGTTTAGAATTCGTTTTAAAGTAAGTTTTAGTTCTCTGGGTATATTTTTATTTTGCAATCGTCTTTCCATGAGGGTCGTGTTCACTTTCCAAGTAATCAGCGTCTTCTAAGCCGTCTACGCTATCCAAATCAAGTTCATTAAAATCTGATGGCTCATCCAAAAGATTTTGTACCCATTCTTGAAATTTTGGGTCATCTGGATGTATTCTTGAAGGTCCCGGAACACCAGCCATGCTAAAATATAAATAATTTTATAGAAAAGTCGAATAATAAAAATATAATCAGAAATAAAACTACTTACGTAGTCTAGCAGACCACTGTCTATCTTTGGGGTATAATAATAAATCACAGCACGCGCCACTGACGTTCTCACGTTACTGATGTGTGTGAAGGTCGTCGACTGAAAGGTACATAGACCCCCATCCCTCAATATACAAGCGTTTTCAAAATAATAGTAATAGATTTTCGCGAGGTGTCCGGCAGACCACCGTGTAGCCGTTAAAGGTTAAATCCGCAGACTGGAAAGTCCACAAAATGGGACCAAAATGGCCGATTCATCTTTTTGGAGAAACCTGATCCAAATAAATTCTCACACCTTGCGCGTAATTAGCTAGACAGCCATGTTGAAACCGCATTGCCCAGCCTGTTGCCGCAGAATGTTGCAGAAACATAGGGAATACCTGTATCCTGGATACAATTTTATTGACTAATGAATGCACATTTAGTTTTATGAAAATGTACGATCTTCATTGTTATGCACTTACATTTATTGCAAGAAGAAAGGTCACATTTTTCTACTGCGGTTGCAAAAAGGAAAAAGTCTCTTGAACAGTAATTCATAACGTAAATGAATTGAGACACCGAATTATTGAAGCCGCACAACAAATAAATGGCGCAGAAAGTGCAAGACGTATAAAACGATCTTTAAATAAATAACTCTTACTTTCATTAAACAAGACTTAGTGTTTTATTTAAATTTTTTTGATTGGTCATGAGTTTGGCCCATCAGTGCTTTAAAGTATATTGTTGACTTTTGGGACACCCATATGTATGGATGGTTATAATAATTATACATAAAAGTAAACTGTTTCTTTTAAATAAGGTTAGAACTTAAATTTCCTTCTATTAAAAAAATAGCAAACGTGCAAAAACCGATAAATCCATTTTTACATTTTAAGAGTACAGTACCGATTCTTACCAAATTTGGTAAACTCTTTTGACTTTTGAAACATAGACAACTCAACAGGAGCAACGTTTTCTTTTAATAGTTTTTAAATATTTGGGGGACTCGGCTGTACACATTTTTGGCCAATACCTCAGAATAAGTTAAAATGGATTTATCGGCTTTTGCATGCACCATAATTGATATGCAGCACATGTATATTAGGAAACATTTGATTTTTATATTTTGATTATTTCATATGATTTTTAAAATGATTTTCTAAATACCAAATTAAAAAGTTTTTGTTTTTTTTTCCTAAAATATTTTCTATACACTTCTACCTGAGTGGTGGCTTTTTATAAAACAAATTAAATTTATTAATATTTCATTTTATTTTTATTAATTTAATTAAAAACAAAAAATCTTCATTTTGTGTTCCAAAAATTAAGTTAAAATAAATTCAGAGGTGTAGAGAAAACTTTTGTGAAAATTCTGGACCAAGCAGGTAATGAATGTACCAAAAAAGCATTACGTCTGGCCCCGAGATTCGTTTAACTTAATTTTTTTATAGAATACTGTATTTTAAGAAAATACAAAAAGCAATTGTTGAAAATTCTGCAATAAACCCCTTAAAAAGACAATATAATATTATTTGTTTGTTTTGTTGATTTGAAAAAAGCCTGTTTTTTTAAACTTTACAATAAATTACTACGCATTTTACTGATTGTATCAAAATTCAACAGAGCTGGGTCAAGAAACGAAACCGCCGAAAATTTGGGTATTACCCATTTATTGAGAAATTGTGCAGGACTATCCACCAAAAATGCCAGCCAATTTATCATTACTCGCAACATTCAACAAGTTGGCGCCAGTTTGACCGCAACCTCGGACCGCGAAACCATTTCCTACACCCTTGAAGGTACCAGATCGGCTGTCGAAAAAGTTATACCATACTTTACTGAAGTTGCCACACAACAAGTTTTCAAGCCATGGGAAGTCGCCGAGAATACCGGACGTTTGCACCTCGACATTGCCACCCGCCCATTGCAGGTAACGAACTTTTACTAATTTTATATCATAGCTCCACAATTGCAATTCAATTTAATGTGTACATAACGAAACAAAATAGTGTGTGGAAGTAATAAAGTAATTTGAATGCGCCAAACACGAAAAACATTTTTTTCTCATTTGGGCACAACGGTGTATTTTTGTGTTTCGATTAATGATTTTACTTTAACCAGTGAGCAGCAGCGTCCAAATTGAACGGCAAGCCCGATCAAGATAAGTGATATATCGTTAGAAGAAAGGTGATTAAATTACGCATCCAAACGTACCTGATTCGTTTTGATCACAAAATGGGTAAGTTACAGTTAATAAAATTTAAAACTCCATGCAATTTTTGACGATGTTCAGCAATTTTTGCCATTTGAGTAATTTTTTCCCACAACAAATAATTTCAATATTCCAAGTTTTACATTTATAATCAATTACTTATTTAATTATAAAATTTAAAGCCCTAGAAGATCAATATCGGATACAAAAAAAAAATAAGATAAAAATAAGAAACAACTGCTATTTATAATTAACTGCTAAATCTCTATATTTTTCATTTATTTAAACTGTATAAACTTTACACTGTAATGTAAATGAGATTTAACTTAAACTTTCATCAGCTGCAACTCAGCCTTTTTTCATCCGATCGAAACAAATTAGGTACCGTTGGACCCGTATTTTAATCATATTTTTAACAATATATTATTTATCGGGCTGTTCACTCGAGACGCGTTAAAGAAATCATAAATCGAAAAACAGAAATATACTGTTACCTAGGTGAATGGCCCAAATGAGAAAAAATGAGTATGTTTTTCATGTTTTGCGCACCCATATTAACAAAAAAAATGTTAAAGAAAGTTTATATTTTTTCGCTTACTAGTGTAATTATTTAATTTATGGTAACGTGTCACATTTAACAATTTATTACTTTTTAAATTTAGAATACATTACATTATTAATTTTAAGTTATATTAAAACTGTTTACAATATTACTATTTTCTTGTATTCAGGGTGTCCGGAAATAACGTTAATATATTTTGGGGGGTGATTCTACACATAAAAGTTACTATAAACTAATGTCCGAAAATGCCTCCTGGGGGCGCCATAGGTATTTTAAACTGTTTCGTAAAATCAGGTTTTTATTAATTATTTAGGAAACATTTAGTGTTAAAATAACCCGGACAACATTCGTGATATTCATACGAACATCACGTCGTGATTTTCACAAATTTTATTCATACTGATATCATACGGAAGTCACCGCGTAATAAATGAAAATCATACGGACGTCACGTCGTGATTTTCACAAATTTTATTCATACGGACATCATTCGGATGTCACTGCGTGAGAAATGAAAATCCTGTCGTGATTTTTTATGCCAACTGTGTTTGGATAATCATTTTTGCGCCACGTTCGTACACTTAGAGAAAAATTATGTTGAATCAACAGTTTTTGCGGTTAAACACATTTAATATTTTCTTGGATTTAAATTAACTATATATAGTTAATTTAAATCCAAGAAAATGTGGCATAAAAAATCATGTCGTGATTTTTTATGCCATCCGTGTTTGGATATTTATTTTGCGCCACATTCGTACATTGAGAGAATAAGTATACGGCCATTCCACGCGTAACGGATGGGACAGTTGCAAGTTTTTATTTTCAAAATAACATTGTTCTATTATATATCTAATGTCAAATTTTTATAAGTAGTTCTAAAAAAAGCTGTTTAACAAGGTTTTTATTAGGCAAAATTAGGTATCGTGGTTGACTGTTTAATTCCTTAAAAATTATTTTTTTTTATCCAAAAAGACTACTAGTACTGTTTTTGAATAAAAAAATTAATTGTTAAACATTGGAATAACCCGGACAACATTCGTGATATTCAAACAACTTTTTATAAATTATAACGGTGTAATATGAATAACAAACTAGGTTTTAAATTCGCAGTTCGCAGGGCTCATACGCATGCGCAAATTTTGCAAATATCACACCGTGCGTTCTACATGATATGTACTCAGGATATCACGTTGTGATATCATCATGACTTTACCAGGAAATCCCGATTGTTGTCCGGGAATGATACTTTTTTTACTCCTATTGCATATTATTGACATTATTTGGGATTTTTTTTGTAAATAATGTTAACCAATATAACCGCCCGGCTAACAACGTGAATAATAAACTCATTATTCACGTTGTTGAATGGTTATGCAGTAAATTAGGGACAGCTTTGATATATATCAGTACCAACAACAAAAGCGCTCACTCCTAAAATATCAAAGCTGTCCCTAATTTACTGGATAACCATTCACAAAACAGCACTCTCCGTGTACGCTAGGAAATAATACTTAAATTAAGTGGTTTCACCGCGAAAGCAGCAGGCGGCAAAGGGTTAAACTTTAGCGAATTTAATAAAATTTATTATCTTTGTTTAACATAAATACGATTTTAAAAGTAAACTTTTTATTTATTAGGTTAGAGCAATTGATTTGTTGCACAAAGCCGCTTTCCGTACCGGTCTTGGTAACTCGATGTTCATTCCGAAATTCCACATTGGCAAAATTTCTTCGGAATCTTTGCAACACTACGTGTGCGAGAACTTCACCAGCGGCCGCGCCGCTGTCGTTGGTTTGGGAATGGACGAAGCCGAAGTAACCAAGATCGCTCAATCTTTGCACTTGGGATCTGGGGAAGGTCAAACAAGACCATCTCCTTACAAAGGCGGTGAAGTAAGGTAGGAAAAAGTAAAACTGAATGGATTATATTTAAAATATTTATTTATTCTAATATCATGTGGGTCAGATTTCGTTAAATCAGGACGAAAAAAGTGGCTATCGTTATTTTTTGTCAAAATGTTGACACGGTAGGCAGGAAGCATCGATAGGTTGCACAAAAATGTCGACAAAAACTGCAAGCTGGGTTGTATTTGTTGATGATTATAGGTGCAAAATCCGTTGGAATTGAAATCCTAACTGCTCCTTTTCAAAAGTTATTCATATTTTTATATTTCAGATCGGGGCAATTTGAAATAGATGGCACTATGCCCACAAAAAAAAATATTTTAATTGTTCAACGCATTCCAAAATAATGGGGTGTTCCCGTCTTATTTAGCACACCCTGTATATATATTAGTATAGCTATAGGTACTATTTATATTACATAAATGTATCCATAGTATCCAATACTAAAAGTTTGGGCATAATTATTAAACAATAGTTAATAATAATTATTGGAAGCAACTCCCCCATATTACGTAGTAGACTGTGCATTTATAACTGTCATTTTATTAAATGTCATTTGCGATAGCGTGGCTACGCGTTGTACAACAATTGTAGAGTTCTTATTAATTTTGTTATAACAATATAGTGATAAATAAATAAAATATGTAATTGTATATTTATTGGTAAGTTGTTAACAACGTCTTTGTAATTATTATTAGGTATTATTATTATTACCACTCGATTCTGTCGCATTAACTGCTCGTGCATGCTCCAAAACACTTTTTTTACTTTTTCTTTTGAATTTTTATTTCGAAATAAAAAAATATGTTACTAAAAATGTTGTACTATAAATAAATTCACATTTTATAACCGAAAACCCAAAAAAAAGAGAAAATGCCGAATAATAATAATAATCTATATGTATATAATAATTACAATAATTGTAAGGGCAGTCAAGTGTTTCCCGCAATAAAAAAGTAAAGTTTAAATAATTGAAGGGTGTTCGGTACAAACAGGCCTGTAGGCTAAGTGTTATTTTTCATTATTTTGTTATTTTTGCGTAAAAACATTCAAAGTACCATCAGCTATACCCTCAAAAAGTGCCAAGATTGCCGGACACAGTTGGAATCCAATATCAAAAGTGGGGGAACCTACAAATCACATCAAGTAATAATTTAGTTTTTCTTTAATATCTCTGTTTCTGAATTTTGGCACTTACCCTGTTTGTACCGAACACCCTTCAATTAATATTATAAGAGTTTTCCAGCCAATTTATTTATATTTTCTTGTTTTAGAAATCTCATTGATATATATCATATCAGAAAAGTAAATAATATAATGAATAGTCGGGTAAATAGTCAGCATCCGCTTTATAAATGCGATCATGAAGAAAATCGCTCAAAAGTATGCGCTCTCTGTGGGAAAAAATTATTTTCCAAAATAAACCTTCCCATCATTTCTTGCTATCTGAAAAACACATTGAAGTTATAAAAAAGCATATCAATGATGAATTTAATATTTATAATAGTAAATTCCCAAAAAGTTTATGTAGCTCTTGCCGACTAACTATAAATGAATATGGAAATGATATTTTTAAAAGACCTCGTCCAACAATGCCTAATTACAAGGATCTTAAATTATCAAAAGAAACAAGAACGATGGGTTGTAATTGTTACATCTGTCTAACAGCACGAGTTACGAGTCATAAAAAAAATAAAAAGGTAGAGGTCAAATTAGGGATTTCTCTACAAATATTGACGTAAACAATTGTTTTGACGATACTTCGCAACAAAAAGCAAAGGCAACCAAACCGAGAACTTCTACTGAATTATGTAACAGTTGTTTTCAACAAATAGGTAAAGGCATATCACATTCTTGCAGAGGTCGTTCTAATGCTCGTGAAAATGTTTTGAATATAGTACAACAGTAACTGTTACCCGAAAAACAGCAGAACCAAATAATAACTAAACTTTTGAAAATAAAAATATCCAACAATGCATTGTTGTGCATATTCTTGAATAATGATGGCTTAGGTTTATGGTCCGAGCAGGCTGGAGAGTCAGTTCATAGCGTGTTCAATAAATTTTGGGATAGATTTAAAATAAATTTGCTAGATGAACCATCTTTTATAAGTCGCTTAAAGAAAGCTGTTGTTACATTTTCATCACAGCATATTTAAATTTACAAACTTAAATTAAAAAAAAATAAAAAAAAAAACAAAAAAAAACACAAACAAAATAGAAAAAAGAGGTACAAAGTAAATCGGCTAAAATTTTTAGCCTAAAAACTTACGTAAAATTCTGTATTATTCTCTTGCATAATAAAAATTCAAACGAGATAATACTTTTGATATTTATTCCAAATTGCCCCGATCTGAAATATAAAAATATGAATAACTTTTAAAAAGGAGCAGTTAGGATTTTAATTCCAACGGATTTTGCACCTATAATCATCAACAAATACAACCCAGCTTGCAGTTTTTGTCGACATTTTTGTGCAACCTATCGATGCTTCCTGCCTACCGTGTTGAAAAGATATTTTATTTTTTAGCGGCTAATAAAGTGTTTGATGACTTCAAACAAAATCTAGATATTTTTAAACCAATAGTTTTAATAAAACTTTGGCTTATCAAAGGTAATAGCAGTAGTTTTTGTGAAATCATTTATATAAAGCTAGGATTTTTTCATGATAGTTTAGGCATTGATTTGTGGGTTATTAATAACACTCGTAAACTAATTGTCGTATTGTTTATTTTACATTAACTAAAGGTTACATTAACTTAAAATATGACACCTTGTTTTTTTGTGCTGTCAGTACTGTCGGTAACGCCGCTACCTGTTAACCATTACTTCACTATTATACTGCCGTGCTAAGCCAAACCCCCGTATCCGAAATAAAAAGTATTAAAGGACAAAAGATAATTTTTATTGTTTTTAACAATGAAAATGCATTGATCTTTTGTCCATTATAACTCAATATTGTACATATGGGGGTTTGGCTTACCAGGGCAGTATACTACCGTGCTAAGCTAAACCCCCGTATCTGCAATATTAAATAATAAAGGACAAAAGATAGTTTTTATTGTTTTAACAATGAAAATGATCTTTTGTCCTAATACTTAATTTTGTACATACATGGCGTCCTCATCGAAATGATGATGATGATGATATACAGCATCTTGTTTTTTTTGGTAGGACGACTTTTAACCATTTTTGTCGTTTTTGTTACATCAATGGGAAATTAAAAAAAACTTTTATTTCTGTAGCCATTTTTGTAAATTTTTACATGGTATATATTTGTACAATTTAGGGCAATTCATTTGTATTTTCAGGACACCAGTTTTTTTTCATTCAAACGTTAATAAAACTTATTCAATATTCTATGTTTAAAAATTTCTAACATTAGTTTACCCAGTTATGTATGGCGGCGCTGTAAACGCTGTACTTACTACAACAATGCGTTTGACCACTCTCTTACTTTTTCTATGGTGAACATGAAAGTTTACTTCTTTAATTGTCTTTAAGTTGGTACGACTGAATTTTTGTTTATGGGTTAACTTCACTATGCTTTGCTCAAGAATGTATTAAAACTGAGATAAAAATTCGTAAATATTAACGATTTTTTTCTTGCTATCTCTCAAAAGGCAGTAAAAGCCGAATTTCCGTGCTTGTCATAAAAAATTGTGTACACATCAAGTGGCGAAAGGGGATTTATAAAGTTTGTGTTGCAACATTCGTTCCGCTCGTGCAGAAAACTTCACACTTCAGAAATCGCCGCCTTTCGCCACTCGATATGTAATGTACTACAACAATTTTGCAAAGTCAATTTAATTGCCTTTGATATGCCAAAGTTTTATCAAAACAAACTTTGCTAGAAAATAAAATATAAAATTTTTTTGGTTTAATTTTTATGGTCGGTTTTGACAAAAAATATTGATAGCCATTTTTATCTTGCTGATTTCACAAATTTTGACACAGGTTCATACTTGCCTCTTTTTGGCGTTAAAATTAGAGTTGGCAAATGACTGGTTACATTGTTTTCATAACCAGTCACATTGTGAATGTGACTGTCACTTATAAAGACGTATATGTGATTATTTAAATAATAATAATAATAATAATAATAGTTATTTATTGATTATCATAATTATAAAAATAACAACAATCAAAAGGCCATTGACCTAGGTCCTTCAGCCAAGGTTAATTAAAATATAAATGTAATGTATTTGCACGTGTTAGAAACCAAAATTGAAATTAGATAGAGTGCAAAAAACAAAAAAAAAAAAACATAGTATTGTGTATGTAAAGAATAAATTAGATATATATATGTATATGTGTTCATTCGTCAGCTAGAGCTTGCATTTCTTCAACCAGGGATCTTGTAGGATGTTTGATTCGGGTAACTTGCATTAAGAGCTTGACAATATTATAGCAACGCTGTGTTTGGAATTTTAAATCTCTTAGTTGATAAATTGTATTTTTTAAATTATCGTTTAGTTTATCTCAAGAAGATATAGGAGAAGTAACTTGCTAGGTTGGGACACGCCAAAAAACGTACTCACCTACGTACTTAATTAGTCACCTACGGATGCGCAAAATGCTCGCGCGCACACCATGTGTCTTTGAGTGTATGAATTGTAAATTACCCAGCCAGCATTGGAAGACAGGCGCATGCTATTTGGCGTAACATAATATGGCTTGTTGTTGAGAGTTACTCCTTATTTAGTCTTCTTTGTTTATCTATAATAAGTTTATTTTAATAAACAAATGAAAGGTATAAAATTTGTGCTACAAATATTGGATAGTAAAAAGTTATTCATTGCAAGTTAAAGATTTGTAATGAGTCATTACTAATGACATTCTAAATAGGTTAAGGAATGTAGATATACAGGGTGTCTCATTATTAGCGTGCAATACATTCTACATAAAAAAATAAGAAAAAAGTATTTACATGTAAATTGCAGTGCACAAAAACTAACCAAAAACAAAAAACAATACATCTTATTATGAAATAACATACTTAGTATGTTACTAATAGTAACACCAAATCACGTCTTGATGCTTAAGCAATTTTTTAATTTTACATGTTTTTATATTATATACAGGGTGTCCCATAAACAGCAGATTTTACATACCAAAAAAAGTTTCTGTAAACATAGGTCGAGAAATGTTTCCTAGGGAAGCTTCACCCCCAAAAGAGAAGCCCTGAAGATGGTTTTTATTTAATATCCCCAAAAGATGAAAAAGTGAAATTTTGGGAATTGATCAAAATTTTTATGGTCAATAAGTTGCAATGATAAGAAATTTAAAATTATCATGAGGGGTGTGTCAGATAGATAGGTAGTAAGAGTTAAAACCACCCTATTTTTTTTGTATTTGTCTTGTGCAAGGATTTGATGTCCGATTATAAAATTTTTGAGTTTTACAAACAAGAAATGTGCTGAACCATTTTGGCTTAAAATCGATTTGAAAATTACCGTTATACGCCGAATTTAACTCCAAAATTAATAACCAATAAATAAATTAGTTTTTCTCTTGTTTACATTCATTTACTGTCGTGTTGTGTGCATTTAAAACGTATTTTTTATAATATAAATAATAATATTATGAACATTCCCTTGCTCCGCCAACTTATAATGGACAGACTACATCAAATTTCCAACTCGAAGAATAAATAAACGCTCGAGCTTTTATAAGTGCTTTAAAATGCGCCATCTCTAAATATTTTTTTATAGTCCTAAATAATTTGTTTCAGATCCGATAAGGGAGGAGATTTGGCCTTTGTCGCCATCGCCGGCGAGGGTGCGTCTCTTGCCAACGCCAAGGAAGCGCTCGCTTTCGCCGTCCTTCAGAGGGCCATCGGAACCGGTCCTCAAGTGAAATGGAGCGCGAGAGATAACGGTCTGCTCTCGAAGGTAGTCGGCAACGCCGAATTCGCCAGCAGCGCCATCAACGCGAACTACTCTGACACCGGATTGTTCGGCGTGTTGGTCGCCGTTCCCGCCAAGAACGCCTCCAGCGTCGTGCAGAGCACCTACAAGTTCATGAAGTGCATCAACGTGTCCGAGGAAGACGTCTCCAGAGGCAAGAATCAATTGAAGACCGCTCTTCTCTTGGAAGGAGAAAATGGTGCCAACGCTATCGAAAATCTTGCAACCCAAGCCGTACTCACCGGAACAGCCCACTCTGCTACCAGCCTGGCTGCTCTAGTGGATTCCATCTCTGCTTCAGATGTTCAACAAGTAAGTTTTATGTCCTCCTTTGATTCTCGATTGGTTCTATTATTGAGTGTTTGCGGTAACAAAATTTTTTTTGTTACTAAAAACATAACTTTGACGTTAAAAATAACATAATTACAATAACAGTTCATTAATAATTGTTAAATTCACTCCGTGATAATTATTTGAAACTCATTCAAATCTTAAAATTTGTTTTTGCGGTCAAGCAGTTATAAGGTCGCTAATTATCCGTTTTAAGATTTAGTGCAATGTTGCCAAATCTCCTTATACTTTTTCTACTCCTATTACGGAATATTACATACACGTAGTGTTACAGAATGAAATAATTTATCATCGAATGACAAAATAAACACTGGTGGCGACATCTCTGTTTTTAATATTGAACAAATTTTAGACCGATCCAACCTAACTTTCTCCCAATTAAATTATTTTTCTATGCTATTTTTTGGAAGCGTAGAAAAAAGTATAGTCTGAAACACGTTTTGAATTGCATATTCTGAATATTCCAAACAGAATATACTATTTTGTTTTAACGACAATTTATTATTTTATGGTCATAGATTTTAATATAACAATTTATATAATTTTTAATCTGACATCATATTTGACTATAGTTTGTTGTTAAATTTAATACTATACAGCTGTATTTTTATTAACAAATTTTCTGAATACTTGCAGCTATATTCTTGGTACAATCGTCGTATTACGACCGTTCCCTCAACGTACTACGACGTACGACAATGTTGTTGGTACATTAATCGGTTTTCTATACCGGCCTAGTAAAAACAACATTATAATTTTTTTTAACTTTACCCTATGTCATCGATGTAAAAATCCGATTTTTTGTCATAAGTATCACTAAAGCCAATGCCAGCGCTCCTGCGGCTTTTTTTTGTTCTAACTTTGACCACCTATATCCCGGTTATTAAAGGCGCATTCATGCTCACTAAAATAAAAAATAAGAATAAGAAATAAGATAAAAAGTTAAAACTGTGTAAAGTAATCGTTGCGTTTTTAACTTTGGTTCTTATTCTTGCGTATAAAACTGCGCAAAGAATTAAAATGGGTCTGTGAATTATTTTGATGGGTTTTATGTGCTGGCCATGGAGCCATGGTGTTGGAAATCGCGTTGAGTGTCGCTGTCGATTGTTTACGTTTATAGCCAATATAAACCACTATAATAAAATATAATTGTGTGACAACATTTTTTATTTCTTATGTTATCAGCATGAACGATCAATCGCGGTCTTATTTCTTATTTCTTATTCCTTATTTCTTATTCTTATTTCTTATTTTAAGTGAGTATGAATACGCCTTAAGAGTTTTATGAATTGTCTTATTTTCTGAAGCTCTATCGATCCTGAAAGTTTGTCGATTAAAACCTAGACCACCCTGTATATTTTATGAGCTATGTTTAATAAAAAATACAAACATTTAATATACCGAAATTTTCCAAAGAAAATACCGGCGATACTGGATTCCAACATATGTTTCTAGGTTATGTTTCATATCCCTTAATATCCAGTTTAAAAATTGAGGTAAAGTAAATAATAGAGGACCTCTATTAGAGGTACACATATTAATTTTTTTAAATAATTTTATGAACTTAAAAACGCTGTTAATGGTTTTATAACAAGTAAAAAAACTGTCAAAGAATTTGGTTATGTTCGGAATTTTTATTTTTGCATATACTTCATTTGTAAATCCTGATACGCCTTTTATACCTACCAATATACCATTTACATATATTATAACATCGTGGCGTTATCGAGAGAATTTATCGATTTTTAAAGTCATTTATAATGACTATTCCACTCATTACTTTTTGGACCAATCAGATTTCAGAAAACGAGTGGTTTTTTCAGTTTTGCAGCGATAAAAGTACTATTCAGGTGAAAAAACCACTCGTTTATACGAGTTGCATAACAACCAATTGGTTGCTATGATAAAAATAATTGTCACTGTTGACGTTTTTAATTTTAAAATTAAAATGTTAAAAAATATGCGTTTTGGTCCAAAAAATCATACAGAAATTGAATCAGCAGTTAAAAATATTCGTGAAATAGTCCTGCCGAATACCACTCGTGATAAAATTTTCCCTGAAAAAATTTTTGATTTTTATTTACTCAAGATTTTTCCTTGGAAATTTCGCTCGTGGCATTAACTTCAAACCACTCGCCTAGCGGCTCGTGGTCTTAAAAATTAATGCCACTTGCGAAATTTCCAAGAAAAAAACATTCGTATAAAAATCAAAAATTTTATCGGTAAAATTTTACCACTAGTGGTATTATATACGAAAAATTAATTGCAAAAATTGCCAATAGTATCAGGGGCTGACCGTTGACTTTGGGGGCCCGGGGCTAAAAAACTCAATAATTATATATGTACAGACAACAAAACAACAAATTCTTACGTCAAAAATTAAAAAACAAGAAAAAAATTACACTTATTCTTGATAAAATTAATGAATAACATAAATAAACCATTCTAGCATTTATACAAGGTGTAGGGATAAGACCTGTACAATGCAAGGCCACATATTTCTTGGTTTAAAATATTTCGAATTAACCCAACTCACCCAAATAAAAATCTAAATCTAAATTTAACAGCCTCATAAGCCTGTTAAAATTTCACCCATTAATATTATTGGTTGCTATTTGCGATTTTACATTTAAAGTAAGTAGGTACTATGCTCCACACTTCAAAGTCCCACCACGTGAAATAATATTTATACTGTTATTTATACTGTTACCATTTATGTTTAAGCGTTAAAAGTTTATAAATCTTTATAGTATCACAGTAACAACAACAAACCATAACTGTAAATTGATTTTACAAGTGTTTTTGGAAATTCAATAGCTAACCTTCTTAAAGTTCCTTACACTGTCAGCTAATATACCCATAGTGTCAATACAAGTACCTATAAAAGCTTCGACAAAATTTTATCTACATCGAACAATCATTAGGTATAAATAACCTTATAAATTCTAAAATTTAAATAAAAGCACAGTATACTCTATCTAATATTTTTACTTGTAGTAGTCTTTCTTATCCAGCTTAAAGTATACCTACATAAAGTTTTGTCAATACAGTTACGTATAAAGCTTCAACTGAATTTTATCTTCATCGAAAAATCATTATAACTTTTAAAAATTTTATAAATCACATGTTATGGGAGTATTAAATATTTTTACATTGCATGTATCTCTAAAAATTGTTTCCTTATAATCTAACTTAAAGTAGGGATCCCAAGAGGTATGCACAAGTTTTGTTGTTAGGAGTATAAAAGCTTTAATTTAATTTGAACCATATTTAACAATTATTTAGTATATCTATATTTATATGACCATATTAACACACTTCCAAATAATCCAAAATACTTATTTATTTTGATCAAAATAGATTTTTCTAACCTTAAAATTTCAAAATTAGATGATATTTTTTGTTATAATATATTAACCTACCTTTGATACAGATATTCTTATTCCATAATAGACAAGCTAATTTTTTTTAATAAATGCCGTTTATTTAAAACTATTTAATGGATAAAACCAGATATATGTAGACCAAATGCACAAAAATTTTACTTATTTGGCACTATACACTTTAGAATTTCATTAAACCAACCATTGTTACTGTGATACTATAAAGATTTATAAACTTTTAACGCTTAAACATAAATGGTAACAGTATAAATATTATTTCTTGCATTGAGTATACTTTGACAGATACATAACCCATGTTGTATGTATCTTGTACATAACCTGCAAAGCCTTAAATGACCAATTTTCAAAAGACTGCGTTCCGTACCTGGTCACGTGGTGGGACTTTAAAGTGTGGAGCATAGTACATGAAAAAAAAACACCAGACTTGTCACAAAAATTGGTTGCTATTTGCGATTTTACATTTAAAGTAAGTACTATCGCTAACAAAAAAACTCATACAGCTATATTGTGGCTGTGTGAATAAAACTTTTCCGTCAATGTCAAGCTGACATCGAGCTTTGTCACATCCATTATGACTTTTTTAACATTTTTAACCAAACAATGCAGAAGAACTCTGGCAAGCCATTGAAGCCATTTGGAACGAGATAAAGCAAGACGGCGACTTCCATGCTTTGCCGTTTGCGGGCAGTAATTGACAAAAACAGAGGGATGACGAAATATTATTTTTTTTTTCAAACTTCAACCTACCTTTGTATTTAATTTTAGACCTTTCTAATGTGACGTATCATGTTAAAAGCCATAATTACTCCAACGAAATGATAGAAAATCAGGAACACTAGATTTTTAAGCTGTATGAGTTTTTTTTATTGCGGCCGATAAAAAGTAATCGATTCTTTATCAAGTTGCATGTTTTTCTTAAAAATTGGCTATTGTAAGTAGGGTTTTTTACGTCAGTCATGTCAATTAAATTATTTTGACAAGAAATCATAGGTGTATGACATATTTAATTTTTTAATAAAAAAACTTAAATTATATAAATCATGTGTATTCGTAATACAAACAAAAAGAACAAATTATTTATTGGGCGACCAAAATAAATAAATTTAAACTTAAAAAGAAATAGTATACTACGACTATAACAATTATAAAAGATGAGCCAACCAGGGTTGGATGGGCTCAGAAAAACCGGCCCTGGCAATTTTTTCATTCAGCCCTCCCTCGGGCATTATCTTACACACTTGTAATGCTATAAAAACTACATTTAAAAAAAATAATTAATACTTGGTAGAACCACCATTCTTCTCTATAACATTTTGTAATCTCCTAGGCATGGAACTAATTAAATTTTGCATATCGTAATTTTCTTCCAAATTGTTCCACTCATTTTGAATTGCATTAATAAGGTCTTCTCTATTTCTTGGTCTAAATTCATATTTATATATTTTTTTTACGAGATATCCCCAAATATTTTCGATTGGGTTTAAATAGGGGCTTCTTGACGGCCAAGGAAGCGTTATAATGTGATTTTCTTCTTGCCAATTATAAACCACATGAGCAGTGTGAACTGGCGAGTTATTCTTAAAATAAAAAAAAAATAATTTTTTGATCAGGAAAGATAAATCATAAAGTGTTACGTGTTGAAACACAAAATCATTATCAAATCTTTCTTGCACTGACGGGAGCATTACATCGTTTAAAATTTCCACGTATCGGTTCCCAGGTAATCGGCCTTCTACTACAATATGAATTATACCAGCCCCTGAAGATGATATCCACGCCCACACGTGGACAGAAAATCTTCCGCTGTTGTCAGTTTTGTGGAGGTATTCTTCATCAAACTTATGGTTTCTGGGACGATAAACTCGCAGTTGCCCATTGTAGCAGGATTGAAATATTTTTTCATCTGAAAAGACTACTCGCTCCCAATATTCAGCGTTTTGATTTAAAAAATTATTTGCAAACTCCACTCTTGCCTTTTTATTAACATCCGTCAAGCGAGGCTTTTTAGCACTCACGCAGTTAAATAAACCTTGTTCTCGCAACCGTTTTCTTGCCCTCCTAACAGATGCTGGGAAGTTGGTTTCCTCTTTGGCTTGAATGGAGTTAGAAAATGGGTTTTGCCTCATATATTCAACCAACTCGTTGTCGTTTACTGGAGTTGTCTTTCTTGGACGCCCAGAACCCATTACCCTACTCAGGTCACCAGTTTCCACTCACTTTTTGTTTAATTTTTGAATAGCGCTTTTGCTGCAGTTTATTTAATCTGCTATTTGTTGTTGAGACCATCCTTCTCCAATTTTGGCGATAATATAGCCTTTCTCTGCTTTACTTAAAGTAAGGTATAATTAAATAATGACTTTACTTATTTTAAGATTAACTTAATTTAAGATGACGTTACCGAGGGGTCACCCACACCTGGAATCCCTGGACATTTTAGAGGGGGAATACCATAGGAATACAATGGAAATACATAGGAATACAATAAAATATAATGGGAATACATGGGAATCCCTGGACGTTTTCCCTTTGGGTGGTTGACCCCTCGGACGTTACTTAATTTTATAAAATTATTTTTGAAATGCCACTGGTGACAACCATATTTACAACGGGAAAATTAGTCGATTACTTTTTATCGGCCGCAATAGTACATGAAAAAAAACACCAGACTTGTCACAAAATGTTGACAATGATCATACATTTTATGTATATTATTTTATTTTCCAAAAAAATATGTCATAATTTTTTTAATGGTTTAACCAGTATAAATACAAATAATTTTTTCAATAAAATTGATACTTTTTTTTAAATTAATTAGTATTTAAACAGAAATATTAATTTGGTTTAAAAAATTACACAATTTTTTGAAAAATAAAATGATCTAACAAAGTCCTATAACGTTTTGTTATTAGTGTGATAGTTTTAGCGGAGAAGTAAGAAAAACTTTAGATTTATCATAAATGTAATTTTAAGCTTAAATAATTTGAACAAGTAGATTTATAAAAAAAATAAGAGAACTTTTTGTTGAGCGTTTACTTTAAATAATCTATAAGAATAATATTTTTAAAATATGTTGTTTTCATTTAAGTTCATTAATTCGTTAAAAAAATATATATTTCCAAACTTATTTTTTTTCCATGCTATTTAAATCAAAAATGGAAAATCGCGATGACGGGCCTCTTAACAGTAATATTAAGATCTTAAATTTTAACAGGCTCAATATTTTACCTTTATGCAATTATTAAATATTCGATTTTTTATTCAGTATGATTTATATATTTATATATTTTTCCATGCTATTTAAATCAAAAATGGAAAATCGCGATGACGGGCCTCTTAACAGTAATATTAAGATCTTAAATTTTAACAGGCTCAATATTTTACCTTTATGCAATTATTAAATATTCGATTTTTTATTCAGTATGATTTATATATTTTTAATTTGCATCGCGTTGGGGGCCTTCGATCGGACGGAGCCCTGGGCCCATAATGCCCATTCCTAAATCCGCCCATGAATAGTATAGTTGTTTTTAGTGACTAATTCTTAATAATAAAAGTGGTTTCACATTGATTTTTGACATCATGTCCCAGGTTGGGGCTCCCAACCCCATTGAATGGTTGAGGGAAATTGAATAAATTTATCATGTATATCAAACGTGCCCTGATTAATTTTAACTTTTTTTATTTTTGGTTTTTTGAAGTCAAGTCATAAGTTTTGATCGTCGAAAAAATAATAATGTTTGTTACTTTTTTACAACTATTTATTATAAAAACAAAAAAATTAAGGTACCGTAAACACGGGTGACTTTGCACCCCGCGGGTGACTTTAACCCTTTTATGAAAAATCTTTTCGCGCTCGATAAAATTAACATTTATAATTTGTTGGTCTAAATCTGTCAATTGAGCGATTCTATTTAGTTTTTATTACAGGAAATTCAGTATTTTAAAGAAAGAAATGGGATTTATTACACTTTAAAATTGTATATAAAATTGTATGTATATATCGCATCAGTGCAAAACTCTTAGAAATACACGCGTTACAATTTCTATATTATGCGCAATCCTTTGGAATTATGATCCTTGGTTAACTACATGTCGATTTTTTATTTTTTTTTCCGTTATCCCTTGCAATAGATAGGTATATGTCGCTGCTAACACGTGTCTAATAAAAATAAAATAAAATATTGAGTTAATTTTATACGGAAAATACACTGTGAGACAAAGTTACCCGCAACCATGGGGTAACTTTGCACACCCAGTTTTTAATTTTTATTTTTTAAACTCAGCCCTATGTAATATTATAACATAGTTATTATGAAAGAGCAACTCAAGACTCAAATATTGGTATACAAAATTTAATGTTTATGATTGTTAAAACCACAAAAATGTTAAGCTTAAGTTTGAAAGTGAGCTAAAGCCACCCGTGTTTACGGTACTTCTCTCCTAAATCGATTTAATGTTTTCCTAATTTTTGCACAATTTTTTTATGTCAATATTATTTTTTCGACGATTAAAACTTTTTATCAAAAAATGTTTCCCTCTTGTAAAATCACTTGGGAGACATACTGTATATTATTAAAATATTAACTGTTACTTTTAAATATTTTATCTATTTTGGTTTCATAATGAATTCATTATAACACCGCTTTTGGTTCTTTAATGAGGTACTTTATTCCACCCAAAATTTTGATTTTATAGGTTGGCTACTGGTAAAATACAATTTTGAATACCTATAGGTTATAATATTTTTATGATTTGTTTTCTAGTACTTACGAGACTTTTCGTGTAATAAATTTTGTTTAACACCAAAGAAAATCCTTTTTTCTTCTTTAACAGCCGCTTATTGTAAATACTTATTGTAAATTAACGACGCCATAGCGAAAGAATGTGATAATGTTTGAAAGGTTAATGACCTTTCAAACTTCAAACTTTGTTATCTATGATACCAACTATGTAAAGTAAAATTTAACCAAATTAAATATAAGGTATAAAATTAATTTGTTTTATGAAATGTTTGCAAAATAGATAAAATAGCATAAAGAACTCATGTCATAAGACCTTTTGTCGCACTTGTCCATTATAAAACTCGCTCCTTCGTCGCTCGTTTTATAAATTGTCCGCGTGCGACAAAATGACGTCTTATGACATTAGTTCTTTAATATACTATTTTAGGCAGCCAACAAAGTACGATCAGGAAAATTGTCAGTTGCTTCTGTAGGAAATCTAACTGGAGTACCATACATGGACGAGCTTTAAATAAAATTTAAACCTGTATTTATTAGATTTAATTCACATTATCTGTGAGCTGAAGCTATATTTAATTTTATTTGTATATTAATGTAAAAACACATCCATTAATAAAAGTGTTTCACTTTGTTTAATAACTTTTTTTCTTATCCCTTAATTAGGATTGATAAATAAAATACATGTTAAAAATATAAATATACATATTTAATATGAACAATGTGGTACTTATAATTATTATTAATCACAATATACAAGACTAAAATATAGTTTTTATATAAAATAAAATGCAATAGTTATATGGCCGCAACTATAATAATGCTCAAAAATAATAAAATGATAAAAACCCAATAAATGCAAGTTTTATCTTTCCTATCCACTACCGATATGTGCTGTGTTTCAGTCCGTACTCTATGATCTGTCCTATCAATTTGGGTACCCAAATCATCAAGAATTTCTATTAAATAAATAATTGTTATTTTAAATCACATTAAGTTTATTAATATAATTACCATTATGGAAATCTACCTCATTGGAAATTGTATTAGCAATGTCTTTTTGCCTGGAAATGATTTGAGCTAAACTGTCTAGGCCTTGTTCTTGTTCTAAAAGAGAAATTAAAATATGCTTAATTCACATGTGATTACAAAAATATATCAGCAAAAACCTGGTAATTTTAGGGGGCAGTTAGAATGTTAAAAAAATTTGCATATTCTTAAATTAAAATATTTCAAATATGAGTATAAGAACGTACGACAGGCCCCATCGGCAACGCCAAACACTATCTTCCAGGGTTATTTTACCCTCTTTCGGTTCTCCTACGTATCCCGCCACTGCACAGCGTTACCCGTGTTTGGTGGATCCGATTTTTCACCCCTAGGAGGTCGCGGATGACTGTCGATGGTTAAGGCCACTCCCGGAATTTTGTCGCCGGGCCGGACCATACGGCCGATTTAGGCTAGTGGAGTGTGGGACCAGGAGGGAAAACATTTTGGTTTTTGAGGGACATTAAACTGACCCAAAACCAAGTACAATCCGGAGTCCCCCTTAACCAGGTATTTAGTAATAATACCTAGAGATGGGAATCGGAAAGTTTCTATTTTAAGGAAACTTTCCCTTTTGGAAAGTTTTCAATTGGGAATATATTTTCATTTTAAAAGTTTCTTTTAAGCTACCGGAAACATTCCTTGGAACCATTCCTTGGAAACTTTCCTTGTTTTTTTCATTTAAATGTCAATTGTTTAACCGCTGATTTTCGTTAAGGCCATGATACATGTGTGTTAATTTAAAGCAGAAGAAGAAGTATAAATAATGTATGTATGTATGTTACAATGTAACAGTTACATAACCTCAATGAAGCCGGATTATTCAGCATTATCACAAAAAACTTCTTCCCAGATGACCAAAGTTTCTTAGTAAACCTAAAGAAACGCGTTGTCGGCAATAACAAGCTGGCATATTTCATGCAACAGTAAGCCAATAAGTTGGAAGTCCAAAACATTTCCCGTCAGTTGCATGCAAACTGCAAGAAAAATGTTTCGGCCCAAGTTTGACACGTATTTCCAATAATTTCTGATTAAGAGTTGTATTCAACAGAGGTGTAAACGACGGGCAACACATTTCCTAAAATACCTTGTTGGTCAGTTGCATGAAAACTGCAAGAAATTTGTTTCCGCCCAAGATCGCCGCTTATTTTCAATAGATTCCAGTCAACAATTGTATGCAACAGAGGTGCAACCGACGGCCAACATATTTCCCACAATAAAGAAACGCGCTTGCGCGAGAGTCCCCACTACCGTTGCTCACCATTTGTTCTTTAAAATTTATGGTTTGTTCTGCGAGTGTGTGTACGATGTGTTGATTAATATAAACAAGAAATCTATCAGGTATGTTTTATGCACGCAATAGTTATCTATTATCTTTAGCTATAGCTATATATATATTATATATAGCACTGTTAAAATAATGCAGAACAAATTCGATGATTTGTAAAATCACCGGAATAAAAATCGATAAGGTGAATCCCTGAATATATGCTTAAAATTGTTTCTTTCTTCTTTTAGATCTAAAATTGATCAATGTTGATATATGTACCTATATCCATATGGAAAAATCTAAAAATCCTTTGAAAATAAAAAAAATACAAAAAAGAAACCAAGACGTAAGTAAATTTTTAAATAATTTGTTATATTGAAGTGAAACTTCTTTCGGCATAGTACCTAAATAGAGGCTATAAAAATGTAGGATTTTTTGAAGATGTAGTTTTTTCTTTGAAGTATTATAATTTTATAAGGGTTTTTATTCAAATAACATTAATTTATTTAAAATTTCAGAAGCTATTATAATAGCGGTAATTTTAAATTAATTAATTAATGTAATATATTTTTTGTATACAAAAATTTGTTGTAGTATACTACAACAAATTTTTATAAAGCACACCTTACCGCCCTTGTAAAATTTGCATTTTTGAACCAATTTTTATCGCTCTTAAATACAGGGTGTACCAGCTAGGCGTTTTTTAATTTTTTGATAATCAAAAAAGTGACGTGAATAAACACATTTAGTGGATATTTTAATAGAACCAAATGCCCAAGAAACGACAAAATTTACCATAGTGTAGGTGGTAGTCTAATAAACATGTGCATAAAAAATTATCAAATTATTAATTAAAATCTGACTGAAAAAATTGTCAAGCCAAGCGTTAATAAATTATTTTTATTTTTCAGATTGATTATGGGGCCTTTATAGGTGGTGACACCTTAAAAGAACACATTCATAAACTGTTCAGGAAGTTTATCTCTGACGAGATATATATGCACCCAATATACATGGGGGGGATGAGCAAGGCAATCATCCCCTTTACAACCCTGGTCTTGTTAGGGCTATTTTTGGTATTTTAAATAATGTTTTATGCAAAATAAACATATGTTTATTGCTAAACATATATTTATTGCAGGAGCTGTGGGTACCAATAAAAACTTTGATCCACCAACGCGTGTTGAACTTCAAAGAGAGGTAACGGCGAGTGGCAAAAGTTTTGCCGCAAAACAGCGTCAACGTATTACCGCTAAAGCCTGATTTATAGATTTCTTTCCTTCCTTCCTTCCTCTCATAAAAGATGAACAATACGAAAATCGTAGTGCCATTTATAGATTTTCGTATGAGAATCTTTAAAAAGCACAACGGTTTTTGTATTGTTCATCTTCTACGGGAGGAAGGAAGGAAGAAAGGCAATCTATAAATCAGGCTTAAGCGTCGAGATCCAAACGTAAACAATAAAGATTCCATAAGGCTGCGCCTGTTTGAAGCCGATAATTTATATAATAATAAATATATTTATTATTCCCGGCTGAAGGACGAAAGTCAATGGCCTTTTGAAAAATGTATTTTTTTTCAATAAATAACATTTAATATTATTATTATTATTATTATTTATTATTATATAAATTATCGGCTTATAAGGTTATTCTGTTGTGTATATAAATATTTATAATATTTTATTTCTTTGTAAATATAGGTATTTTTGTAATAAAACGACGTTTGAAAAAATTCGAGTATGAAAATTTACGCCTAACCCTCTTGTTAAAATAACAATACCAATAAATGAGGAATTACTGAATTTGGTGGCAATTTGCCGATAACGTATCGGAAATTAAAATCAATAGGTAAATGAAGCGTTTGGAACCAGAGTGGCCTAACCCACAAATGTTTTTTCTTAAATGATGTTAACAATCATTTTAGGACAATATATATATATATATATATATATATATATATATATTAAGGTGCTTTTTTTCGGAAATGAAAAACTTTGTTAAAGAAAGCACCCAAATATATATATATATATATATATATATTGTCCTAAAATTATAACCCCATTTTAGAATAAATGTTTGTGGGTAAGGCCACTCTGGTTCTCAACGCTTCATTTAATAATTTATTTTAATTTCTGATTCGTTATCGGCAAATTGCCACCAAATTCAGTGAATTTGAATAGGTAAATCATTTCCTATCCGTTGCCCACAATCAGTATACGCAAAAGGTTTCCCGTCTGTTGCCGGTGGGTTGCACACTATAAGTTGTCAGGAAACATTTCCGCCTATAAACTCTTATGTTGTCCACAATAATTATAAGCAAAAGGTTTCCCGTCGGTTGCCCGTGGATTGCACACAATATATTGTTAGAAAAGATTTTTGTCTACAGATAGTCAAATGGTGGCACCCACTTGACAGCAAACGGCTACCATATCAAGAGAACGAATAGTAGGCAACTGACCGGCAAACGGAAGGACGCTGGTTATCTGGGTTTAAAAAAAGGTAAACAAAATAAAAACAATAAACAAAGTTAAAATCATTCTTACATTTTTGTTGTTTATTTATAGGCATATCACAATGCCAAGAGAAAAATATAGTGTTTGGAATTATTACAAAATAGTGCAAAAAAACAATAATTTTCTGAATTTCTAATAGTAAACATTTTATTTTTATTTTGTAGGTTTTCATACAATAGGAATATTCCAAAGCACGGCGTTCTCTATAGAGAACGCCGTGTCCAAAGTAAAAGATACTAAAAATAGTATTGCAGTTACAATCTTATAAAGATGTTTTTTATTTTTTTTCTTAATAAAATTTGACAAAAAGTTAATGTTTTATATATTTTTGCAAATCCCTGGCATAAAAAAAATATTTTCGCAATAAAATTTTTTTTTTTTAAACTTCCGGAAAATTTCGGGAATTTTCGAAGGAAAGTTTCCGGGAATTTTCGTCAAATGGGAATTTTCCCATCTTTAATAATACCTTTCAATTGGGGTTCATGAATGGTTCTTGGGTGATTAGTACGTAACTAGGACCTATCCTTCCTGGTCTTTTAGTACTTCATGATCGTTTGTGTCCGTGTCTTCTAAAAATTACTGCGCGCAAATTGTTCACCCCACTGTGCGAAACCATTTCTTTAGTCTAGGGTCAAGAACTATCGATAGATAGTTTTTGGTAGCCGGCAATGTGACTATGGATATCCATAGTCTATCCATAGTCACATTGCCGGCTACCAAAAACTATCTATCGATAGTTCTTGACCCTAGACTAAAGAAATGGTTTCGCACAGTGGGGTGAACAATTTGCGCTGTTCCGAGTACAATGAAAAAGTACTCGAGTACTGAATACAAGTACTCTTATATAAAAGTACTCGAGTACCAAGTACAAGTACAGTACCGTTGTACTCGAGTACCCATACGAGTACAAAGTACCGAGTACACTTTAGTAACTAAAGTGTAACTGTAACTGTTATGAAATGTTGGGCCTATTGCCTTCATCAAATATTGATATTTCGCTTTATGTTAATTATCAAGGCCGGCTAGTATCATGTTTCACTTTGCCTTAGCTTTATTTTTTAATTATCTTTTTGAGGAATATTGTCACCTTATTTCTACCAAAATATAAACAAAATTACATTTCATACATAAGTAAAAACCTTTTGTTCAATGCTCTTTTTTGTGTCTTTTTATTTATTTATTGAGGCTGTTTTAAGGCTGTCGTGTGAGTCAAGCTGGCTGATGCTGCCTCAGGCAGCATGTCCGTAATTTGACAAGTCTGAGCAGTATTGCCAA